ATGTCCGCCACACGTAAAAATCATGCATTACGGATTCTTTAGAGCAAGAGTAGGAGAAAAATCTCTCTTTTTTAAAGTGATATAATTTTTATATTTATAATCCAATTTTTACAAAAATATATATATATCAAAATTCATAATTCTTTTAAGATCTTTCATATGACACCAATATTATATATATATATATATATATAAAAAAATATCTATTAATTATTTTATATAGCAAAACCGAGTTAAAAATTTCATCCCTCCGCCTGGGGGTGGTGTCAAATATGCAAGGGCGCGCTACACTTGATAGACCTGGGTGTGGTGATAAGAATGCTAAGGTTGCTAGGTCGCTGCCCAGAAGCGGCGCGTCATCCCATTGCCCGGGGATGATGTCAAATATGCAAGGGCATGGTGGGGTCCGAGATGGGGCTAAGAACAGAAGGTGGAATGCTAGATTGCGTTTTGGGACATGGAATGTTGGGTCTCTTACAGGCAAATCTTCCGAGGTAGTCGAGGTTATGAGCAGAAGGAATATCAGCATTATGTGTGTGTAAGAAACTAAATGGGTTGGAGAGAAAGCACGCGAGATTAATCCCGGAGGTTTTAAGTTGTGGTATTCGGGGAGAGATAAGACTAGAAATGGGGTAGGCATTATTGTGGCGCGTGACTATGTTGAGGATGTGGTAGAAGTCTTCAGGAAGAACGATCGCATCATGAGCATTAAATTGGTGATAAGAGGTGAGATTGTGTCTGTGGTAAGTGCTTATGCACCACAAGTGGGATTGGATGCATCTACAACTCAACAGTTCTGGGAAGATCTTGAAGACGTGGTGCGACGAGTGCCAAGGGGAGAGAAGTTGATCATAGGAGGTGACCTCAACGGGCATGTGGGCTCGAGTCGTGATGGCTTTGAGAATATTCATGGCGGACATGGTTTTGGCACTAGGAATGAGGCAGGAAAGAACATTTTGGATTTTGCCTTGACGTATGAGTTGGCTATAATGAACACTTGGTTTAAGAAAAGAGACTCTCACCTTGTAACCTATAAAAGTGGAGCTAATAGTACCCAAATTGACTACTTCTTAGTACGGACCACTTGGAGAACTAGCTACACTGATTGTAAGGTTATTCCAGGTGAGAGTGTTGTCACTCAGCATAGGATGCTTGTGCTTGACTTTCGAGGTAAGAATCATAGAAGACAAGTTAAACAACAAGTGGAGCCAAAGATAAAGTGGTGGAGGCTTGAGGGAGATCTTCATCAAAGCTTTACACACAAAATGGTCGGTGAAGATGTATGGCGTATTGATAATGAAACACATGTGGATGATGTGTGGTTATCAATGGAGTTGACCATTAACAAAGTGGAAAAGGAGGTACTTGGAGAATCTAAAGGATGTCGGCCACCTAAAAAGGACACATCTTGGTGGAATGATGAGGTGAAACAAGCCATAAGGAACAAAAGAGATTGCTACAAAAAGTTGGGGACAAATTGGAGTGATGAGAACATAGAAGCATACAGGGAGGCTAAAAGACAAGCAAAGAAAGCCGTAAGGGAAGCACGAGGGAAAGTGAACAAGGAGTTGTATGAAAAGTTGGACTCTAAGGAAGGAGAACTAGATATTTATAGACTTGCTCGTCTTCGTGATCGCAGAACTCAAGATATTGCAAAAGTTAAGTGTGTGAAGGATGTTGATAAGAGGATATTAATGGACGACGGAGAGATAAAAGAGAGGTGGAGGTCATACTTTGATACACTATTCAACGGGAACAAAACGCAAGATATCAGCGATTTGTCCATACCAGATTGTATGGTAAACCGTGATTTTGTGAGAAGGATCCAAACAACGGAAGTTAAAGAAGCTCTGAGGAAGATGGGACAGAAAAGAGCAATGGGGCCAGATGGCATACCGATCGAGGCTTGGAGAAGTTTGGGAGAGAGAGGCGTCGAGTGGTTAACAAGTTTCTTCAACATGATTTGGAGAAACAACAAGATGCCAACGAGTTGGAGGAAGAGTACTCTTATCCCCTTATTTAAGAATAAATGTGATGTACAAGAATGTGCCAACTATCGAGGGATTAAGCTTATGAGTCACACCATGAAACTTTGGGAGCGAGTGATTGAGCAAAGACTTCGAAGGACTGTGAAGATTTCAGAGAATCAATTCGGTTTTATGCCTGGTCGCTCAACAATTGAGGCCATTCACCTTCTTCGACAACTTATGGAGAAGTATAGAGATGCTCATAAGGATCTGCATTTGGTGTTCATTGACTTAGAAAAGGCATATGATAGGGTACCTCGAGAATTTCTTTGGTGGGCCTTAACTAGGAAATGCATATCACGCAAGTATATCAGCATCATCATGGATATGTATGAGGATTGTACTACAAGTGTTCGTACCAGTGTAGGGAGGACTGAAGAGTTCCCTATTACTATCGGAGTGCACCAAGGATCGGCCTTGAGTCCTTTCTTATTTGTCATAGTCATGGATGAACTTACGAAGTCAATTCAAGACGATATACCGTGGTGCATGATGTTTGCCGACGATATTGTATTGATTGATGAGACGCAATCAGGTCTTAAAGCAAAGTTGGAAGTATGGCGACAAACATTGGAGAATAAGGTTTTCAAACTAAGTCGGAGCAAGACAGAGTACATGGAGTGCAAGTTTGGTGGAGGTAGAAGTAGTGGTAATAGCGGAATTACTCTGGATGGTAAGGAGATACCAGTCAGCGATATGTTCCGTTACTTGGGCTCCATAATTCAGAAGGACGGTGAGTTAGATGGAGATGTATCTCATAGAATCAGAACATGGTGGATGAAGTGGAAGAGTGCGTCAGTATTTCTATGCGACCGAGGTATGCCGACTACACTGAAGGGTAAATTTTATAGGACAGCAATTAGGCCTGCATTACTGTATGGCGTAGAGTGTTGGGCGGTGAAACAATGTCACATTCAAAAGATGAGTGTGGCAGAGATGTGCATGTTGCGTTGGATGTGTGGGCATACTAGGAAGGACCGTGTGAGGAATGAGACAATCAGACAAAGGGTGGGAGTAGCACCTATTGAAGACAAGATGCGGGAGTCGCGCCTACGGTGGTTTGGTCATGTGCATAGAAGACCGGGTGATGCACCTGTTAGGCGAGTTGAGATGTGTGGAGAAGAGGCAGGGAAGAGAGAGAGAGAGGAAGACCCAAACAGGCGTGGGTTAGGGGAGTTCGAAGTGATATGCTTCTTCTGGGGTTGGATGAGGGCATGACTTTGGAGAGAACTAAGTGGAGGGCGGGTATTCACGTGAAGGAGTGATCTTGATAATCTTTTTCCCTCATCTTTTTTTTTCCTAGTTTTTTTATCCTTATATATATATAAGCATTATTTGCAGCCTTTTTATTTTATCATTTATATATATATTCATCTTTTTTATATTATCTTTTCATAATAGCTTATCTTTTTATCTTTATTCCTTCTTTTCCTTTTGATTGTGATATCATGTATCGATTCATGTTAGCCGACCCCAATATTTTCATTGATTAATAAAAATTCTATTATGATTACTACTAAACATTTAATTCATATAAGTTGACTCGGTTCATCATTGTTAGTTACTACATGCATCACTGGTCATTCTGAGAAAGGGAAGGAGAAAAAAATATTATTTTAATGTATAATAACTTATTTATCTATACTCCAATTTATACAAAAAAAATACATCAAAATTTAAAACTTTTTATGATCTTTCATATGACACAAATTTTACAAAAAGTATACCAAAAATCATAAAGATTTATGATCTTTCATATGACAACATATTGCATATATAAAAAAAATCATTGTAAAATTTGAGTTATAAATCAATGCTATATCAAATTTATAGTGAAATTTGAGTTTAAATTTGCATTATGGGAAGTGCACATTTACACAATAGCCGTGACACATATTAGGAATCCAATTTTCATTATATATTTAAATCTAATGTTTTATTTATTAAAATGGGGTTACAAAATGGTGACATGTCATATAAATAATTAATAACTATTACAATATTAAGCACATAAATCACAATATAACCCCAAATTCATACTCCAAGAGATGGTGATTCATCACTTGTATTCCATGATGATGGTTAGTTCATACTACCTTCGTCCTTCTTTATTTAACCATATTTGACTTTTCCTGTCAAAGATGATAAATTTTGATCTATTATTTTAACTAATATATTTATGTGAAACTTAATAAATTTATACTTTTATGAGGAGAAAGTTTTAACAAAGAACATTTTCATATCATTTTCATATTATTATTACTACTGTATATAAATATATAATCGATCAAAGTTCAACAGCATTGACTTAAAAAATAGTGTTTGGTTAAATATAAAGCAACAAGGGGAGTAAAAGAAATCGATTATAACCAAAATTTTGATCATATCCTATGAATAATTCACAATGTTTATCAGAATTTGTCCTCTCACCTATATCAAATTAACATTACTGGGGCATGCCCCAGGTGTTAAACTAGTACTACCTCCGTCCCACAAAATTTGGCCAACTTTCCTTTTTTGAACGTCCATTTAAAGTACTAAATATGTGACTAAAGTTATTTCTCTCTACTCTGCACAAATATCAACCACACAGTTTTTACTTTATTAATCTGCGTGCAAGTCAACATTGGCCAAGTTTTATGGGAGGGGGAGTATAATATATAATCCCCTAATAGGTTACAGATTTCCTCCCTCTACTTTAAAACTTGGTATTCTTAGAGTTTTTATGGATACATCAGAAAGGTATTTTTGAGTTATGTGCACGGGGACGGGAAGGGGTGAAGTGCTACCCCGTTCAAGTGCCATAAATATAAAATGGAATTTCATTTGGGACATAACTTAACAGCACATACCTTTACCACAAAATTACCTTTTGTAAGATATACTCCGTACGATATAAATAGTAGTAAGCAAAATGCAAATTACCTTTAGCCTTGTTTAATCAGGTTCTGGAACCCGACTTTAACTTCTAAACTCGGCTGACCTAAACCACGTTTGGAAAATGGACGAAGATTTAGACTTACATCTCCAGCAAACATTACAAACCTTTGTAATGCTTTCCACTTTTTTCTTTACACAAATTCCATTCCTACTAAAAGAAAATACAGACAAGAAACAATAATATTCAAAATTATACTCGTAAAACAAAAACAACGCGAACAAAAAACCTGGTGACCAACAAAATTAACATCCAGGAAAGCCCAAAAGCCGATCAATCAAAACATTCCCTGATATGCCAAGCCCCAACCGGCCAACCCATATATAGAAGTATAGAACTCCTTATATATATATATATAAACATTATAAGAAGATGATGAACATCTTTAACATTAACAGCACAGCCAGTGACATTTGTAAAATACAGTCAAATCAAGGAGCAATTTCTCCTTCCTCTAATTCTTCATTCCCGGGCAGCATACCATTACAAAAATCATCCCAGGTCCCATCAAACAGATACTGTGCATCAGTCAATGAACCTTCAAGGCAAGCATCCGGATTAGATTCTGCAATGAGATCTGTGTACGTATCAATTAACTTCGGGTCAAATTCAAACGCCATGTTGTCAAGAAAAGCAATATCCATGGCTCCAGAGTCCTCCCTATCAGAAGGGACATCCTGAACAGGTTGTTGTTCTTCACTGCCCTTTTCCTCTACAGTAGAAGTCGTAGGTATAACTACTTCTACATTATCAGCATTGTTTATGGGGTATGAAACATGAGGACATTGACGAGGATCTGAAGAGTCGTCATCTTCTATCTCCTCCTCCTTGAATGTTACTCCTTTGGGACTCGAATGGATGTGATTGTTAATAACTTCCTTAGGCTTTACTTGTTCAGGAATAGGGTTTTTTACAACCTCGAACTCAATTGCTTGTGTTGGAAGAAATACATGGATGACAGGGTACTCCAAAATGATTAAGTTACAGAATTGTTCGCGTAATGGGACATTTATATCTAGCTGGAGGTAAGGAGATTTGTGTCCCTGCATTGGAAATTGGAAATACAATTAAACTTTTAATAACAGGACTTATAAAAGAAAAACTAAAAAGTTAATAAACATCTCTCAAAATAAACTTCATCCTATCCATTTTCATTAGCTCAAAATAAACTCCATTTTCACTTTAAGCAAAATACTACGTGGTTGATATTGCTTCTGAGTTCTCTCTCCTGTCAACAACTTTCGATCACATAGTTTTTTCTATATAAAAATCACATCAAACCCAAACCCCCGTAGGAGTTATATTTGGAACGGAAGTGGTAATATTAAACATCGCACAAACAATCTTTTAAACCCACAAAAATACAAATAATGATGCCCCACAAAGATACTACTCCCCTGTCCCGAGTAAAGGTTTCCATGCGATTTATGATGTTTGACTGACCATAAAGTTAACTCATCTCTATCAATAATAAAATTATTTTTAGTAAATAAAGTTTACATATTCAAAGACTACATTAAAAGTTTTATAAAGTCAAACAATACTATAAAATAAAAACAATTTACATTGACCTGGAAATAGTGGAAGGTAACCTTTACATGGGATGGAGGTTATATAATACTATAATAGAGACTTCCAAAGAAAATGTTAAAGAGGCAAAAACCTTATGATGTTTCCGGATAAAGAATTTAAGAGAATCCAGAGGAATGTTACAAAATTGCTTCAATGGATGCTTCCATGGTCCCAGGTTTAGATGTTTCTCAATCAAAGATCGCAGGTTTGTGTTTTCATGTACACTGCAGTAGAAGCAATAATTATACGTATGATGAACTTATTTCTGCCAATACGTACACAATTAGCCAGCCATCAAGCGATGACATCAAAGAATATATATTACCGGTGGTCCATCAAGATAACATCTTTCTCACAGTGGAACTGCCATTCTATTGTCCATGATATGAACTTTTTTCTGGGAATTAGATGAAAGTTAGGTTGTGTCTGAGAATGTTTATATGTTAATAATCTCTCTAATGGACGGTATTCTGCATGATTGAAAATACCTGTTGTTGTAAGAAGACAGGTTTTTCTCTCTCTTTGACATCCCAGGGGGGAGAAAAAGGAGTGTTGTTCTACGACTAGAGGCAGCCCTCTTAAGACTATGTAGAGGATAAGGAAGCCAGAACTGAGGATAGCAACAAAACCTATGGCTCATTTTTCTAGCAGAATCCGCAACCCTCTTAACATCCTCTAGCATATTGTAATCTGCAGAAAAGCCCCAAAATTTTCCATCACATTACTTCCAACAGGGTAAACCATAGCTTCCCTGGAACCATTCAGGGAACAGATAATACATGCACGAAGCATTGATGTTATACAATTATAATTCACTTCGTTTGCAAGCAGAATTCAGCTCAAAATGCAAGCAACTTGTTAATAAATCGAACAGAAGAAGGGAAAATCTACGGATTCTGTGATTTAAGGTCGAGAGAGAGATAAGATCGTTTGAGAGCACTCTTCTAAATTGCTGATAGTACAAAGACCACAATTTCCGCAAAATTGGCGAGCAAAAGGCGAAGCGACTATCCAAGTGGGATTAAGAATTCAACCTGATAAGAGAAGGTTGTCGTCGAACTGTGAGATAGGAACGACGTCATTGAATGGCTTCTTTCCGGTGCAACCAGAGATCTCCTTGTGAGCTTTGACGCAAGGTAGACTGCAGGTGCGGCGAGAGCATCCGGGACATTTGTATCTCCATGGCTTCAATTTGCACTCTTGGCACTGAGCTGCAGTTTGCTCTTCCGCAGCTGTCTGAGCTTCTCCGTCATCCATTCCTCTTCCTATTCGAAGAGAGGTTTGGTTTTAACGGTTATTATATACAAAGGCGGCGCCTGGCGTCGAATGGGTGTGGGTTCCTGAGCGGTGGTTGTTCAGGCAGTTAGGAAAAAGGAGGTCATATTAGGTTGGTGGGCTTTAAAAATGGTCAGCTTAGTTTTTCATATTTTTCTAAGAACTTTGTACAACCAGGCCCAAAGAAATATACTCCCTCCGTTCCTAAAAATTCTTCCCGGTTTGACTTGGCACGCAAATTAAGAAAGTGGAATAAAGTGGAAATGTATGGTTGTGGTTGTGTAAGAAAAAGGTAAAATGAATGTGAGCCACACAAATTGTCCAAAATGGGAAAGTGGGAAGTATTTTTGGGAACAGCCCAAAAAGGAAAGTGAGAAGTATTTTTGAGAACGGAGGGAGTAATACTCCATCCTTTCTCTAATAACCGTCCTTTTATATTTTTCATGGTTTTTAAGAAGAAAATTGTAGGGATAATATATAAGGTGTAGGGTAAATGAAAAGGTAGAAGGATGATCCCTAGGTATCCTATGGTTTTTGCGTAGCTTCTCCCGGTGGTGGAATTGACCCTAGTCTCGCAGTTTTTTCAGAGACAAGATGACAAGAGGAACGAAAGGGCGGACGACCACATCGCTTCATCGGGTGGACGATCGATAACAAAGGGGTTTTGGTGGAGGAGGTTACAACCATATAGAAATAGAAGGGTTGGCTCAAGCATACGGACGAATGGAGATGGAGGAGGGGGTGAATTTCTGGTGGTGGAGACTATGGATTCAGGCCTAGGGAAGCCAACCAACAGCCGCATAAACTGTCAAATCCCAACATCGGGATCCGTGAACAAAAGCTCGAATGATCTTCCCGAGCGACTAAAAACCTGGATCAAACAATCTCGGTACACAGGTGCGCTTCAGATTTGACATTCCGCATAAAAGCAACGAGTGTTATTTCACCCTGAATGGCACAACAGTCACATTCCTACTTCCTTATGTCCCACACACGCTCAGAACATCAGAAGTGGAGGAGGATGAATTTTTGGTGGTGACATTGAATACAAACTTGTCTCTGTTAAGGGCTATTGCCAGGGGTGACAACCCAATGCTTTCCTCGCCGGTGAAGACGAGGGTTTAGTGTGAGAGATGCTTTAAGGTGTGAGCACTAATGAGAGTCAATGATCAGCAAATTGGAAGGGACAAACTGGAAGAAGGTGACATGTCGATGGTCCACTCTTCTCCTGAACCACCGCCAAGAAATGAACGAGAAGCTAGGGTTTGCGCACCTGCAGTATTTTTAATTTTTTAATTGTCTTTTTAATATCCTGTTTTGGTTTTATTATCTTTTTGGACATTAGAGGTAGGTGTTTTGTCGTTGTTTTTATTTTATGTGCTGGTTTTTTGGGCAGAAGCGATAGGGCTTGTTCGGCCATCAAAAGCTTTGAAGCTCTCACATGATTAGCGACCAGTTTCACTCAAATTTGGATGGTCTATTCTATGTCTAATCAGAGAGTGAGAGGCCCTTTTGGTTACACAGGGTCTCATAGGGAGACTTTGTTTATTGTGACTATGTGAATGTTCGTTTCTTTTATACTAATAAAAGCTATTTCCTTTCAAAAAAAATGAAAAGTAGAAAAGAGGATATATTGAGAAGAGAAAAAGTAATGAAAAGATATGAAAGAAAAATTAGTATGTAAAAAGTAAAAAAGATAAGGGTAATAAAAGTTATGGTGTAAAGGTATTTCGATGGGAAAAAAGTTATTAAAAGCAAAAAGGGAGATGATAATAAAAACATCCCAAAAAGTATACAAACAATCATCAGAGAACGGAGGAAGTATTAGGTATCAAATTACTCCATAGCACCTAATGACTGAATATCAAAACAATGATCATATTTACATCGAAATCCTATATTGAAGTGAGTATAAAAAAGTATGACACTTCATCCCTGAGATCGCCATGATCGATCGAATAGTTATCTAGTGTGACACCTAATTCCCGAGGTCATCAGGATCGGCCGAACAATTATCTGGTAAGAGATAAATTCAACTCTAATCACGGATTTAGCATTGATATGTAGAGAGTGGGGTCTTGGCTCACGTCTTTCCCCGAAGCCGAACTCGGGATTTAAGATTTTTTGGGGACTGGAAACAATCCATATCAAAATAGATCAAACCACATCAAACTGAAAAATACAGATCAAACCAGACCATATCATCATCATCCCTTTTATCATCCTTATTGTTATATTAATTATATTATTTATATTATAATTAAAATCGTAGTTATTGTTATATTATTTAATGGATTATAGGTAAATGGATTATAGGTATCCAAAGTATATATAAAAATGGAGAGATTGAGCTCAAGAATGGAGAAGAAGAGTAAGTGTATTGAATGTATGAATAATGAATTATGACTTAGGGTTTACAAACTCCAAAAGGAGTATATATAGAGAAATTCGGATTTGGGCCTCTAATATGGGCCTGACAGACCAAATTACATAAAAGGACTGATAACATAAAAGGCTAATCTACAACACCCGAATAATAATAATGTACAATAATATAAATGCTATCTATTGAGAGTACGTGGGCTGTTGTCCGGGTCCAATGTCGTCAGGCCGGGGGGTCTGGGTCCATATACTCCATCAGGAGTCCACCACTCCCTAAACCGATAGTACTCGAGGTGAAAGGGAGTAGTCCATAATTGTATCTGCAACGTTCTTGTCTCTTTGATTTCTTCCTCTTCGTCCGGGGGACCACCACCCTTGTCCATGATGGGGAGGTGTCTCGTTAAAAACCTTTACTAGGAAAAAATCCAGTGGGAAAAAATCCTAATAGAGGGAAAACGAGTACACCTAGCACCCCCAACATGAAACAAGGAAGGCAAGATCCCTTCGGCATAATCAATTTTGTCTAGCTCAGCTCCTCTTCATCCGACTCATCTTTCGTTCCTGCTCATGCGTGATATTTTCTGCTCATCTAGAAACTCTGACCCCTCAGTCCCCCAGTCTCCCACTCATTGAGGTGAGTGGAGAGGAGGTGAAAATGAGTAAAGTCATCTTCGTACCTACACATTTAACATGCATATAATTTTTTTCTTGGGGTTCATGTTTTCGATCGGGAGTTCGTCATTTGAAAAAAGTGGAAATGTGAATTGCTAATGTAATGATAAAATACTTATGATGGAGTATATGGACCCCGACCCCCCGGCCTGCCAACTATTGGGCCTGGACAGCGGCCCACGTACGCTCAGTAGATAACATTTATATTATTGTACATTATTATTATTCGGGTGTACTAGATTAGCTTTTTATACTATTAGTCCATTTATTTAACCGGGTCTGCCGGGCCGATATTAGAAGCCCCGACCCGGATTTCCCTATATATATACTCCCTTATGTAAGGCTTGTAAACGATAACTCATAATAACTCATAACTCATTCTATACACACTTATCTCCTTCTCTACTACACTCTTGTTCAAATCGCTTTAGTTATAGGATATGGGTATCAATTATCCAACAATGGTGCTCTCGTTGAGAGGCTTGAACACAATCAAATGAGAAAACCTCCCAAAAAACATCCAAAAATTCTTTCCCATCACAAAAAAAAATCCACCAAAAATCAATTCTGCAAAAAAAAAAACACGCAAGAACACATCTGGAAAATTTCGCAGATGGCCGGAACAGCGTCACCCTGCAGCGACATCCCAGGTTGCCAGCCGCTCCACTGTCGCCGGCTACCCACCTTCGCCACAACGCCCTCACCAGCAGTGGCTATCTTTGGCTTAATGGTATCCGCCATTAATGGCGGACTAAAGCTCCCGGAAGGCTGGAAGTGAAGATGCAGGCCTCCGACCCAAACCACAACAAATCAGTCTGAAAATTGGAGAAAGAAGAAGAAAGGCGGGGATTTTGGATCTGAATATTTTCGGATCTGCCTTTCACCGCCCACAGGAAAGTTGTTCTCAAACCAACCCAATTCTCGGCGCACAAAAATGACAACCAAATCTCGAACTGGACTTCAACGATTCGAGCGTGAGATGGCCCAGAAAACTAGTGAACCCCTGACTGCCCTTAGTGGCGATTTTAGATTTAGCGACGAGAGATGAAGTTCTCTTCTCCAGCGAAGTTGTGAATCCAGCGGCGAAGCCACACAGTCACCTAAGAATCTACGCACGGAAGCAGAGACATCCACCGATGACGCCTCTCACCCAGCAGTAGAAGCGTCTAAGAAGCATTTGCTCAACCTCGCGACCTCCGGTTCTGAAGCGGTCCCATTTCAGTGCTGAAGCTCCACCGTGACTAAAGAGGTGCATTTTCGGATTTCTTTACTGCCACTCTCTTCTGCAGCAAGAGTCGGAGATCCCCTGAGAGCAGCGGCGACGATGGATCCAATTGGCCTAGCGTCCCTTTACCCCCCTCTCTTCGTCGACATCGGATAGAACCCACCAGCCAAGTTGTGATGAAATCTCCTCATGAGAAGAGTTGGTGTAGGAGGAAGTTGCCTGCCTTCACATAAGATTGCCAGCCAAGCTGTGATGAAATCTACTCATGAAAAGACTTGGTGTACGAGGAAGTTGCCTGGCTTCAGATAAGTTGGCGGACTACAACAACATGATGGATGGCTAGTTTGACCAAGTCAAAATTGAAGAGAGGAATCCAATCCGATCCCACGAAACTCTTAGAACCCTGGGAGCCCAATCAAAAGCTTACCAATTCTCAGCCCTTTAATTTTGGCCCATCAAAAGATAAGTACTCTTTAATTTTCATATTATTTATATTTATTTAAATCATTTCTATTTGTCGGGTGAATATCAACCTATCACACAATTATGATCAAATGCCAAGTAGACTGTGACTTGAGACCCATCACTAGAATTTAAAGCCCTGACCAAGTCAGGCACAAAGCCCCGACCAAGTCGGGCATGAAGATCGGTCTTAGTCATTCCAAGAATGGCGACCGCTGCGTACGAATGACTCACACATCCACTCTACTAAGTATTTTATCATTACATTAGCAATTCACATTTACACTTTTTAAAGTGACGGGCTCCCGATCGGAAACATAAACCCCAAGAAAAAAAAATTATGTATGTTAAATGTGTAGGTACGAAGATGGCTTTACTTAGTAAAGTG